GAAAAGAATTTAAAAAAAAAATCCAATGAGAGAATGTTTTCTGGAAAAAAAACTGAAGAATATAAAGTGTGAAACAATTATAGGGCTTTGCTATTGTCAGCACACATAAAACACCACGACAAGCTCACGTTTCATCGGTCGTCACTTACCAATCCCACTGTCATCTAACCGCATGTAGCCTTCCGCCAGTGAGCTGAAACCTGTTAAGCCTCCCATTGCCGCATAAGGAACATCCTGTCCCACTGGCTTGCCCTGAGCCAGTCTTTCTTGCTTAGTTTCCACCACTGTGTCATGAGCATACGCAGGCTGACCACAAGCACAAGTGAAGCAACTATGGAATCCTGAACACTTGGAACCTGAATCAAGATGTAAAGGGAGTTAAAGGTCTTTAAATATAGGTACTAAAGTGTCTGCCCTAAAAATGCTCAGCTTGGCCACAATCACCTGGATCTGGATCCCTTATAGGCTGTCCTCTGGCCTCTAAAACTCTAGCCTCCAGCCCCCAAACTCCCTCCCAGCCACCGCTCTTCTGTAAGATGCTGAAGTGAGTAAGGTAAAATAAGGTATGTAGCGCGGGGAAAAAGCATCGGAAAAACCAACCAGGACTAAAAGAAATTGCGCCAACGCGGGAAAGCCAGGAAATGTAGGCCCTCTCCTCAAATACGGAGTTAAAAGCAGGTGTGGACAGCCCAGTGGTAGGACCAGGTGAAGGGATCATGTGGAGGCCTCCCTGTGGATTAAGGCCCCATAAAAGCCTTATAGGAAAGCCAACCCAGGACAGAGAAAGGACACAATGGAATAAATTCTGTTTAACAATAAAGAGCAAAGAAGTACCGATACATGTTACAACACAAATGACTCATACAGACTTTATGCAAGTGAAAGCAGCCAGTTACAAAAGGCTACGTATTCTATGATTCCATTTATATGAAATGTCTAGAATAGGCAAGTCCATATAGACAGGAAGTAATTATTGGTTGCCTAGGGCTGGGGAGAGGAAGGAATCAGGAATGACTACTAATAAATATGGAGTTTCTTTTGGGGGTGATGAAAATGTTCTAAAATTGACTGTTGTGATGGTTGCATAATTTTATGAGTATATTAGAAAACCACTAAATTGTACCCCTGAAATGGATGAGTTATTTGGTATGGGAATTACATCTTAATAAAAGTGTTATATATTTGGGCGCCTGGGTGGCTCAGTTGGTTGGGCGACTGCCTTCAGCTCAGGTCATGATCCTGGAGTCCCAGGATCGAGTCCCGCATCGGGCTCCTTGCTC